CTAAAGGATTAAGTGTTGGAACAGGTACTCTGGGAATAAACATTGTGATTAAGGTCACCTGTAAGTATACCAGTACAAGTATGTGGTGTGTTTACACCACAATGACCTTGTGGATGGTGACGAGAGTGGCCTGTCAGGTGACTGTGGGTGGTCCAGTTTTTTTTGGTGCAGACTCTATATCCAAACACAAAAGAAGGAAATCTGTCACCTCTGCCCCACTTCATCAGCACACCAAGCTGCTCCACCGCACGACTTTGTCCTTGTTGCCAATAAGCATGTGTAACTCTCCAAGTTGGGCCCGTCTTGTTTTTGTTAAAGTGCTTCTGTCCAGAATTATATTCACTAACCTCCTCATGTGGCTCCGCATCTGGGCCCAAGCGGTCGTTAAACCTGTTGACAATAACAGGAAGAAACTTTGCAAGATTTCCACATTTCTTTTTCTGGACTGTCAATTAGTTTCACAAGTGGCTTGATCTACCATCTGTGTGCCTGTATTGTTTACTTTATTTGGACACATTGATTTTAGCTTAGATCTTTTCACTTTGTCCTAATAGCTTTTTCCAAAATATTTGTTGTGTCCTGATTTTATCAAACATTAAACAGAAAGGAGTAGCAGCTTAAAACTTTTCCCATGTTGTCACTTTGGTGGTGGTGGTGGTGGTGGTGGTGGTAGTGGGGTTATTTAAAAAAAAATATGATTAGCTACATTTCTGTTCAGAGAAACAACAAAAAGGGACATGTCAAAACGTTTGCCAGATGATCTAAGACAACTCATAAATATACACACCTACTAATAAAGACATTGTTCTTGAAAATATTACAGCTTTAGTGTAATCCTAAATCTGCACTCTGTTGAATTCTGACATTGGTCTCCTCACCTCTGTAAACCTCCTTCACACCTTTCCCTTCACAGGTGCTCCAGTCATTGCCTCCTTTCCTCATTTCTACCTGGGGGAGGAGAAATATGTGGCTGCCATTAAAGGATTGTCCCCTCAGAGAGAGCATCACCAAACGTATCTAGACCTAAACCCGGTAAGACA